TTTTTTTTTTTAATGTAGTAAAAACAATTTTACTATTTGTACTTAAAAAAAATGGTGCTAGTTATTCGGGTATTTTTTATATCTCCTATTTATAATACAAATTTTTTATGGATACATTTATACATTTCCGGAAAAAAGTGAATTAAACAAATATTATGAAAAGTGGATTAAAAAATTGAAGATATTTGAATCCCATTATCGCTAATGGCTTAAAAAGTTTGTGTTTTAGTATAGAATAACATGTTTTTTGCAGGAAAATCAAAAAAGTCACTCATTGAAAAAAATTTTAATTTTAATTTACAACATAAAAAAAAGATGCGGTGAAGAGAAAAAAATTTTTGTTCGTTTCTATTAAAATAACCATCAATTAAAAATTTTTTACATGTAAGCTTCTTTCAATGCATATAAGAACATGTCAAAAAATAAGCTTAGTTAGAAAAAATAAGATTTTTAAAAATGGATTATTTGGTATCGATTTATCCATATATTTTTTAAAAATAATCTCTTAAAATAAAGTAATCGACAACTCTAATTTTTTGAGTTGCAGGTATTTACAAAGAAATAAAACTGAACAAATTGATACTATAACCATAAATAATTAATTGTTCGAATTATCTCAGTACTGTCTAATTTAGCACCAAACATTTTATATAAACATTAATATGACTTATTCAAAACTTTTGATACATCAAAAATGTAAAAAGTATTGTACCTGAAAGAGAACTCCAAGCAAATGTAAATTAATCAGTTCACCTGGTGTCGGCGGGAGCCATTGGTCTATTTCACGAATAGCTACTTCCATAATAGTATTTCCCGATTCAAAAAATTCTTGTGCCAACAAAGCACATAATTCGCCGAAAAGATTAACAAAAGGTAGCATTGAAACTATGACCACACTCTAAAATAAAAAGTCCTTGTAAATGATCAATGAATAAAAGTGAAAAAGCTGAATGTTGTTCCTATTACATACCTTTTGAAAGTACCCTCTGGGTAAATCATGATTTTTCACTTGCCGAAAATAAATGTACCCCCAATAATAATCCTCGCTGCATTGTAGAAAAGCAGGTGACTTACGATTATATTCTTTTCTGGAAGTATTATCCTGCGATTCTAGAAAATTTCGTCGGATTCTCACGTGATATCGAGTATCACCCATACATCCAGAATTCGAATCAGGAAATGCCAAATAACAAACATTAGAGCGTTCTGTTTCTGATAACTTCACGTGACTTGGATATATTGCCTGAAATAGAGATTATCTAAGTTTTCTCATTAATACAAAAACAGGACTTCATTAGTTTATTACATTACCTCTAATGCTTGACCCAGCTCTAAGTCAAAAGTAACTACACATATACAGTGAATCCAGTTATCAAAATTTTCCCATCCGCATTTCGTCATTGTGAAATTTTTCAAAACATCATTAGTTGACTTTCAAAAATCTAACTGAAAAACAAAACAATTAAGAATTAGCATGTTGGTTATTTAACTGTTTCATTTCTATTTGAGAAATTTTTTAAAATATAGAAACTATTAAGTGATCAATTTAGAGACATTAATATGTTGATTAAAAATTTCTCATTATATATATATATATATATATATATATCAAATGTACTAATAAAAGTCACAAACTAAAGAAACATTTAATTTAAATGTTCAAATAAATAAGAAGAATAAATGCAATTGACAATTGATACCTGCATCACAAACTTGATTTTCAGTAACTTAATTAGCAACAAAAGTGACTCGATTAAATAACAATTAAATAAAAAAAAAATAACATAAGTAAAACCTTTAAATAAAAAGTAATTAAAAAAAGTAAACAAATCGTAGCCCTACAAAACAACATGAAGTTACTGAAAGTTTATGAAAAGTAGAAAGTCGATATTTTTTTTCAGTCATCACACCATCTGGTAAGAAAAAGTAGAACTAAAAACACGAAAACATGGAAAACTTGAATCTAGCGATGAGCCATCGAAGCCGTGTCTATTCACACGATCTATGAGACAGAATATCCAAATACAACCCTAAACCGGAAATATATGTTCAGCATATAATTTTCTGGAATCAGTAACTAATTTTTTGAGAACAAAAATTTATTACTAAACTATGATTAAACGTGAATTTAAATATTTTGTCTGCATGATTTTTAATAAGCTTATACTTCTTAAGATATCGATAACAAGAGTATAAAAGTAAATTACATAACTATTGTTGGTAAATCTTCTATGCGAGAATAAAATATATAATATCATATAAGTTTTACAACAGTAGGTGGAAGCATAGTCTTACCGCTATGTCATGTCAAATGTCACTATGTTTTATTGATGTTCATGTGCATTATTGAAAATTAGCCTTGTTAAAACAACCAGACTTAGTAAAAATCAGTCAAAATAGGTTAAATGTGTATAAAAAGAAATTGACGACAACTCGAAATGTTTATTTTTTTTTGGGTTTATATCGAAATTCATACTGTTTATTAATTATGTTACTATTCTTTTCTTTATAATAGTTTAATAAAATTTCCTGAAAAATTTTGTGAATAACATATAGCACTCTTATAAAATAACCGTGATTCCAAATATAATCATTGTGAATTTCCTTCAGTTTTTTTATAATTATGTATTATTTAGCTTAGTCCTTAGATAGACACAGTTAAAGTGTTATATATTTATTTTCTTAACATCAAATATGAGCACATTTAATGAAGAAAAAGTTTCAATCGTTTTTGTTGTGATTTGATATATTTACATCAAGTTTATTCAATAATTAAATATAAGGAAATTTTTTACCTATTTAACATGGTGATAGTTATAAAAGTATGTCTATGTGATTATCTTTAGTATCCTAATTATTCTGAACTGTCAGGGTAAGTTTTTCGTGTCAATATTTAATTGTTATTTTTATGATCTAGTGAAATTAATAAGCAGTTGATTGTAATAATATCAACTGGAAATTATAACATTCATATTATTGATTCTAACGTATTTGTGTATATTTTATGATAGTTTATAAAATTAATAAAAGTATTCAGAAAGCTGCAGTTCTTAAATTATAAATATATAATAATATATAATCGCGTTCATTAATTTGAGTCAGTTTCTAACCTTAAATTTGGAGGATTCTAAATTCTAAAATTTGAAAATCCTAAATTTTTCCATTTGTAAAATAAACTAAATGTAAAAATTAACATTTCTTAAATATGAGAAACGTAAATCAGGTCTAAAATAATTTAAATGTATCGTAAAATATGTGAAATAAAAAAACAGTTATTTAAAAATAAACAAATTCGCAAATAAATTTATTCGTAAAATTAGTAATTAAAAAAAAAAAAAACTTCAATAAAATATCACCAGTTTTAAAATTATCGAATTTAAAAGAAATAATTTTGAAAATATTCTAAATAATTGAAAAGTTTGAACGTCTAAAATAGCGTCATACGAAAAATTAAGTTGTAGTAAATTATTCTTTTGAAAATTTTTAGAATCGTAAATATTGCCACTTGAAAACTTAAACCGCTGAATTCAGCCGATACTAAAATTGAAATTCATCAAATTGGATGATTCTAAACCTAGACATTCGTAAAATCAGCCGTTTCTAAACTTGGAAATTCGAAAAATCAGCCGATTCATGAGCTAAGTTCATTTGAAGCGTCACCACTCTAATCTAGATGTAATATTGAATATATTTACCTTTAGAATGAGGTTTCACGTATTTTTGACTATTAAAATCAAAAAATTCAGTTGTTGATGAAACAATTTTTGAAAAAATTTAATATGTGTGATGAATTAATGAATTCTTCATGAAGGATTTAAAAATTTTTCTATTGCTATTTTTTTTTTTTTAAATTTTAAAACTCAAAAGTTTATATTTGTTTTCAAAATTAAAGTTCATACATTATTATTAATCTATATTTAAATGTACATACTTAATTTAAATAAAAAATAAAAAAAAAGTTACGCAATGATAGGGACCGAGCACTAACTGTAGAGGCAGCACATCAGTCGGAAGTGGTGCGCCCTGGTGTTTAACAAAAGCACTAAATGGGCAAAAAATATTACAATAGCTTATGTGTTTTTTTACTTAATAATAGAAAAAATAAGAAAATATGCTTTTTGACCAGTATTAATCGGTCGTATTTGAAGCAAAAATAATTCAGAAGGCTAAAAAAAAAACTTTAGGCCATGTACATATATTAATTAAATGTGATCCACTCTTATAATTCAGATGAAAAATATGAAAATATATACATTGATGAAGACATTTTATTCGTAATGTGATTGGTCAAATATATCATAAGCATGAAAATATAGATTATTCCATACCAACATTATATTGTAGATATTATTCTATTTCATCAAAAACGACCCGATAAGAAATGTCGAAGTTATGTGAAAAAAACACTTTTTTCGGTTTTCTTTCGTTCACGCTATCTCTCGAACGAATCAACCGATTTTGACTGGATTAGCGACGATCGGCGTAGTTTTTCATGCTAAAGGGCGGATTAGTTTTTGAAGTTGATCGATCGAGCCGTTTAAAAGATATTCCAAAAAAACCACTTTAAAAAATGATTTTTTTCTCATTTTTTTTGAGATTTTTCATAATTTCTCAAAATACATCGGTCCGAATCGGTTCAAATTCTCAAGAAATCTAAGTTTGAGGGAGCTCTTTAGAACGCCGTTTAGTACGTTCCGATCGGTCCAGTCGTTCAAAAGTTATAAGCGAGTCACATAGTCA